GAAGCATCAGGATTGGGACTTGGGACTGGGAAGCGATCTATTCACCAGATCAAGGATATAAGTCTTAGATTATTGAGAGTTACAGGGGCCGATAGCTCATCGTCCCGGTGGGTTAATTTTTTATTCGTTATGATAGTAAGATAGATTATCACGTCGATCATCATACCAACTCCTCACGACTTAGTCCTTCTGCATTTAATTGAGCTGAGCCGAAAATTAGAGTTACAATCAAGCACACCCTTACAAACTCGGGCGAGGGGGGAGGGGGGAGGAAGCGAGCGAGGACAATCGGACCTAAAAGGCAGGGGCAGACCTCGGGGTGCAGCGCGGCGCGGGCTGGAGCGGCCATCGGGCTCTCGGCGCGCCGGGTGCTGCCCGACCCTCTCCGCCCGCGGACTCCTCTGCTCCGCAGCCGGGCCTGGGACTCGGAAGTCGGCTGCCCGCTGCCGCGCTGCTCCTCCATAGCCCGGCGCTCCGCCCGGGACCGGCCCGCGTGTCAGCTCCACTGGCCCCTCTCTTGGGTCCCTCCTCTTGAGCTTCCCTCGGACACGGTGGCCGTGCGCTCCGGCGGCCTCCGAGACCGCTCCAGGGCCGGGGGTCCGGGGCGCGCACGGACGCGAGGCGGCCCAGCCCGGGCGCCGCTGGCATGGGCTCCCGGCTCCCGGCACAAACCCGTCCGACTGGCTGGGCCACTCCCGCCCGCCGCCCCCCACCCCCACCCCCGGATGACACGGCTAGCTCTGCCGGCGCGCCGCCGCTGCCAGTCTGCCCGCCGGGCTGTCGGAACAAGCGGCACCTGGCCTCCTGCGTGTCCCTGCAGAGCCGGGCAGAACCCGACCGCCTCCAGCCGGCTGCGAAACCCCGCTCCAGCGCCCGCCCGCTGCAGCCAAAGTTGTGGGAACAGCCCGGACTGCAGCCGCTCCCTCTCGTCTCTCTCTCTCCCTTTCTTTTGGTCTCACTCTCACGTTCACACGCGCCGGCACAGGGTCCTGCCAGGGGAGCGCCTGTCCCTTCGGTGCCTGGAACCGAGCTGAGGTTCGCCCCGCGCCCGCTCAGGGCGCCGGCACCTGGAGCTGCTTTCAGCCTCCGCGACAGGGCCCAGACCCGGACTAAGTGACCGGTCCTAGGAGACCGAGGGACTCCGCTCCGTTCCAACCTGCCCGCAAAGCCTCCCATCCCCACCCCAGTCCCGAAAACAAAGCGACCGGTCTGCGTGGGGTCCCTGCGCCCCTCCCCGCGCGCGCAGAGAAACGCATGTCCCCGTGGGATGACACCCGGCGCCCCATCCACCAGGGGGAGGAGAGGCAAGAGGAGGAGCAGGGTATGGAAGCAGAAAGGTTTAAAACAGTCTTCAGGAAGAAAAGAAGGAGGGAGCGGGTGACACATCGCTCGCGCAAACCCAGTTTCTGATTTCGAGGGAAGACAAGACCCCTGCCGCTGCGCCCGCCCTCACACCCCTTTGCCCAGCTCCCAGTGACAAAAAGCGAATGAAAGGCAAATAGCAAAAGTCGCCACTGCCACCCATTTGCTTAGATTACTCTGGGCCTCTCCCCATCCTCGGACTCATTTCAGTGGGGGTTGCGAGGGGAGCTTGAGGCCGGCTCCCAGCGCCTCTGTGGGTGTGTGGGTATGGGTCGGCCGCTCGTGGGCCTTCCCGGCTGCCCCAAGAAGTCCAGCTCTGGGGATCCTGGGTTTTCAACTGGGCTCCAAAGCGACGCGCTCTCTCGGCCCGTAGGGCTCCCGGCACCAGAGGTGGTCGTGGCCCGCAGCTGCACCGAGATTCCCACGGTCGTGCAGCCGCGCGGCGGGTGGGTGCAGGGGCCGGTGCTGGGGTGGGCGGGGGGAGCCCCGCGGCCAGGCGGGCTGCACGCAGCGCCTTCTCCCCCATCCTACCCCGCCCCCGGGGTGTGCGCACCCCGTAGCTCGGAGGGAGACGCTCCTTAGAACTTCTTGGAACACAGAGCCCCGCAGCCGGGATGGGTGCTCCCAAGTTGAACCCGCTTACAGGGAGGTGCGACCCAGCTCAGAGCGAAACGTGCGGGGGGCTGTCTCCAAACCCAAGAAGAGAACCTCTTTAGGAAGGGGGAGGGGTGGAAGCAAGGACAGAGAAGAAATTTTTAAAAAAAAAGAAATCTTAAAGATCAAAGAGCAACCTGGAGGGAAACGGGGTTTTTCTCTGCTTTCTCTTCTCTTGGGCCCTTGGAAGAGACAGGAGCGTGCCTAAGTGCCTGCAATTGTTTCCAAAAACAAGAAACAAAACCATGCTCTTTTCTTCGCCCACTCTGTGGCACAGCCAAAGCTGATCAAAAAAAAAAAAAAAAAAAAAAAAGAGAGAGAGAGAGAGAGAGAGAGAGAGAGAGAGAGAAAGTGGGACACGGGCTTCGAAGGAGGGAAACGAAAGATGCTTCCTCTCCGTCTGCTCCGCCGCGTTCTTCGCGCGAATCCGAGGGGCGGGCGCTGCGCTGGGGAAAGTTTGTCCCACCCGCATTTCGCAGCTGGCTGCCCCGGGAACAGGGTCGAGCTCTGAGCCTGCGGTCGCAGGAATGACTGAGCCGGCGCCGCGCTTACCTCGCAGTCTTCGTACTTGATATTATCCGTCAGTTTCCAAAGCATTTTCATGGATCGGCGTGAATGGATCTGCCCCTCTCCGCCCGGCAGCCAAGTGGAGCTACTCTCTGGGTAAGCGCAAAGTGCCGGCTGCGGGCGGTGAGCGAAGGAGGAGGAGGAGGAGGGCGAGGAGGAGGAGGAGGAGGGCAAGGAGGAGGAGGAGGAGGGTAAGGAGGAGGAGGAGGGCGAGGAGGAAAAGGGCGAGGAGGAGGAGAGACGGGAAAGAGCTCCCGTGTGCGCTCGGAGATCTCCCTCTAATGGTAGAAACTTTTCCCTTTTCCAGCGCTTTACCAACAGCCTAATCGCCTCATTAGCATATCAACAATAGTCCAATTGCTCGCCAGTACCACAGTCCGCCGCCGGCTGCTCCGATCCAGGTATAAAGGCCTCTCCCGGCCGGGAACTCGCTCCCAGGGCGCACACCTGCCTGCCAGCCGACACCTTCCACCAAGCCTCACCTCTGTCCCCTTGCGCCAGCGCCCCCCAACCCCGTTCCTACCCAATTTCGTCCCACTCCCCTCGTCCTGTCTTCGCTTCCTAGTGGACTGAGATGTCCTCTGCAAAACCCAGCAGAGAGTACTCTAGGTCCCAGCAGCGGCGCCCCCCCCTCCCCCGCCACCACGCTCCGAGCTGCCCTTTCGGCCCCGTCCAATTTCATTAGAAATCATTATCCCTTTCGCAATTAAACATAACCACCAAGACCGGAGAAGGCACTCCAGGATTTTTTTTCCCCCGACGAGAGATCGCCTCCGCTCCGGCAGTTACCTCCGCGGGGCCGCAGCCTCGGGAGTTTTATTGGCTTAGCGCTGCCCGTCCCGGGTCCCCTCCCACCCCCCCAGGTTGGAGATTCTGCCAGACAACTCTAGTCGCTCGGCTGGGGTTCGCGATCCCTTAATTGCGGCGTATAAAATAAAAGTTGTATCCTGAAGAGGTTACTTGAGAGCTCCAAGGGTTAAATGATCCCCCCCCCCCCCCCCCGTTTGCAGGAAACTAGAAGCAACTGACAGTTCAGCTTGGTGTCTGGGCTAAGGTTTCCTGGGTACGACGTGGGCTAGAAGACCGAGCTGTGGAGAGGCACAGTGCTTCTGGAGTGGAGCCCAATTACAGGCTCGCGTGCGCCTGCAAGTCTACATACCGCGTCATGCACGCATCAAAATAAATCATTGGGAACCATCTCTTCTCTGTGTTAATCTGCCCCAGTTTTCCCAAGATTCCCCTTTTTAATTAAAGAAGGGAGAGTTCCTTTATGATTTGATGTTACTAACGCGGCGCGCTGGCGGAGCGGTGCCCGGCTGAGGCGGAACCCGGAGGCCCCAGCCACCCCTTGTCCAAGTTGGCCAGTGTGAGCTCCCTCCCGGGCTCCACACAGGGGCCTGCTGGCTTCTCTGGCCTCCTGTTGTTTTCTCTTTCTGTTTTAGCGACTTTTTAAAGGAAGAAAAGGAAAAACCTAATGTGATACTCCAAAATGCATAGTAGTTCAGTACCCTAGCTGAACTTTTCCATTTGGCTTTCACAAAAGGTTTCCGTTTGTGTTTCTCCCGGTGAAAGGCACCGTCTCTCCTCTCCCAAAAGCAATGGCTCACTTCTTAGAGTTGCTCTCCCAAGGATCTCCTCCATCTGGGCCTGTCTCGCAAATTCTCCAGGTTCCCCCACTGCATCCCCTGTAAGGGCAGTGGAAGCTTAGCAAATTCCAATGGGCTCTCTAACAGGTGGAAGGGAGGCAAAAAGAGGAAGCCCCCACGCACACACCTCACACACCCTAGTTAAAGCTGCAGAAATTACCCTCCCCCTAGACCTCGGCAAAGTCCCCAAGCCAAGCAGAGAAAGACAGAGGTCTCCTTCCCCCCCCCCCAAAAAAAAAGAAAACTAGGGCAAAAGCTAGCGCTGGCACAGGGATTCTGAGCCTGAGGTCCCCTTGGAGATCCTGGGCACCGGTTGGCTTCTCCTTCCTTCCCACCCCAGAACACAGAGCACAGCCTCTTGGCTACCTCTGGCTGGAGAGTCCTGGCATCGTACCCTGCCCCCCAAAAATGCTCAACTTCCAGGACTAGGCCCCGCAGGCCTGCCCCGGGGCCTGCTACCTAGCGCAGTGGCTTAAAGTCAGGAGCAGAACGGTAGGGAACGCCGCCACCTTCCCCGCAGCGGCCCAGCCGCACAGGGCGACCTGTAGGCCACCTCCTAGGCCCGAGAGCTTGGATTTTTACGCCTGCAGACTCGCCACGGTGCGCTTAAGCGAACTCTGCAAGTTTCGCTTTCTTGCCTTTTGGGATGTGGGCTGGGAGCGCGTTTGCGGCCCTTCACCCCCTCCAGCTCCACCTCCAAGCTGCCCTCCCCTCACCGCCCCACGCCAGCAAGATCTCCGGCTCCGCACCCGCCGGGGCTGCTAAACTGCTGTCGTGTTCCCGCCGAGGGCGCCATTGAGGTGCGGATTGGGGCCTGCAGGCTCCGTGCCGCCGCCCGCAGTGTGGGCGCTGATGAAAGGGCCGGGTGAGCTCCCGGGTCGCCCCTGGAGCCCGCCGAGCTGCGTGTGTGTGAGCGTCCTGACCACAAGTGACTTCATTGCATGTCAATGCTGCAGACGCGCCGGGACCCCAGGACAGCAGCGCCAGGCCTGGGATGGGGCTGGGGGGGGGGGATGTCGGCCTGCGGTGGGGGCGTGGACAGGGCGCCGGGGTGTGAGGGGGCAGAGCCACCGAGGGAAACAAGAGACAGAAGGGCCAGGGCGATCTTGTGTTTTTCCTCCAGCGGTCGCCACGCGGGGAGACCCCGGAGCCCAGCGCGGAGCCTGGCGGATCCGGCCCCTCGGGGCCCCAAATCTGCTCACCCAAAATCCAGGCTTCCAGCCTCTTGCTTGACCCAGACTCCTGGCTGCAACCTCCGAACCCTAGTGGAATCCACTGAAGGCCCAGGCCCAGCCCCAGGCCGAACCCAAGCACCTGGGAAGACTACCCAAGGACTCCCTGGGGACTTCCCCGCCAGAGAAGTTAGGAAAGGCTGAGCCCACAGGGACCAGGAGGGAGGGGGGTCCCCCAAAATGTGCATTTTGTATGGGGTTGCATCCTTAAATGGTAGAGTTAGTCTCACGGTGGCGAAGGAACTGCCAATATTTAGTGAGGTTTCCCTGGGGTGAGGGGGTACAAAAGAGTTCGCTCTTCATAAAAACAGGGAAAACATACAAAATGCAAACCGCCTTCCCTTCTCCAACTCCCAGGAAAGCCGCAAAGCCGGGACTTCTCTGAACTTCACTTTAATGGCCTAAGTCTGAAAGGACCCAAAGAGCTGGCCCCGGGAGGGGCAGGGCCTCCCCTTTCCTTTGGGAAACGCTGGGCCTTCCGTGAGGGCTGCCCCGCAGGCTGTGGGCGCACTGGGTCTCGCCCCAACCAGGCCTCATTTGTCTGGCGCTAAAGCAGGCCCTGTGGTTCCGATTCTGAAATCATCCGCAGGAGAGAGGCTGCTACCCCCGCCAACCCCCACTCCCACCCGACCCCCGTTTTCCTTAGGGAACATGTCTGGAAGTGGGAAGCTGAGCGAACGCCCTCGTGGCTGGGGTGGGTGCCCCAGGGCTCAAGAGAAGGAAGGTCCAGAGCCCCCTCAGCCTTGTGGTGTCCATGGCCTACCAGGGTCAACTTTGGCAGGTGTTGGTGTGGGCAAAACCAGGAGCCCTGGGCTCATCGCCCACCATTCACTCCCAAATTCGTAGCCCAAAAGGCGAAAACCCACTTGAGGAAGCAGTCAGAGTGAGTCGCTCAACTTTGGGCAAACTCGTTTAAGTATCTCCTAAAGCTCGCTGCCGCAACCCGGCCATCGGGACTCCTCTTCTCCACCCGCCCTGGGGTTCCCGATCCCGGGGACAATCCGAGAGACAAGACAGGTGCACCAGAACCCCACCCCAACGCAACAGCCCTAGGGTCCAGGGCGAGGCCGAAGGCTCAGCGCTCCGGGAACCTTCTCCAGGGCGCACGGCAATCCCAGCCCCGCGCCCTCCCCCCTCCTGAATTAGTCATCTAACCAAGTTTCTACTTGGGGTGGGGGTGGGACGGTAGGGAAACGGCTGCAGCACAAACCACAAGTGACCCCCCGGGGCCACCTGTGGAGCGTGCGCCGGACTTTCCCCGGCGCCGGGCCCTGCGGGCGGCGCGCTTTGCCCCCAGCGCCGCGGCCGCCGCCTGCTCTCGTTTTTCCAGTCTACTCTCTCCCGGGAGCTCCGGGGCGCTGCCAGGCGTGCCTCACTCCCCTGCCCTGGGCCACGGCGCTTCCTCTCCGCCTTCCCCCTCCCGGCCCCCTCCCCCGCTCCACCCCCGCCCACCTCAGCCCCAGCCAGGGCAAACCCCCGTACCTGCCAGTCCCCCATTTTGGCAAGTATGGACATCGCGGCTCAGCGCTCCTGGCGACGGGTCCCCGCCGGGCATAGGCTGGAGGGCTCGGCTGGGCCCGCTCCCTGGAGTCGCTTAGGCAAATCCTCCTTTTTTACCTGCTCACCAACATCTCACCTGGTCATAAAGAGCTGGGTTGCTACCTGCCGACGCATGCGCGCTGGCCCAGGAATTCACTCCGCCAGCCCCAGTCCCAGCACCTCGCGGAGCTGACCTGGGAAGTGATGGATTTATAGCCGCGGCAATCTCGCCATCAGCTCCGGCTTTTCCTAACAGCCCCAACCCGCTTTCCCGGTCGATCCCTGGCCGGGGAACCGAAGCCCGCTGACTGCCGGGGTGTGCTCCCAGAGTGTGAATTTGTGTGTTTTCGCACTGGAGAAGTGGGCATGTCTACGCGCTCAGCTCCCCGGGAGCTTCTCCCCTCGGAACTTTTGGGTCGGGGGAGTTTCCCTCCCCGCCGCCCCTCCCCAGCCTGGTTGGCGTGGGGGATGGGCAAGACCCGGAGAAGCGGCCGGACCGGAGAGGCCCGGCGCGCCCGGACGCACGCGGCGGGGCCAGGCTGCCGCCCCGGGCTCCGCTCCAGCCCACGAGGTCTAGGGAGCTGCCAGCCTTAGCGGACCCGAGCCTGCCACCCCCAGGACCGCTTCAGCGTGGGATCCCAGGGCAAAGGATTACTTAGTGGACGAAGGACGTTTCGCGATTCTGTTTCATTTCTAGCTTCTAGATTTAGTCTCCTCCCACCTCGGAGAGCCACCCAAAAAAAAAAAAATCCTCCAAATACATATACACCCGGTGGCTCTCTCCCACCCTCCTTACTCTCCGCACATCTACATGAGGCCTCCTGTCCTCTCCCTCCTAATCCCCCGCCCCTCCCCCACCCCTTTATCTTTTTCATTAAGAACTTTTTAAAGGGAGAATGGGGGCGTTGGTGGCGCTGGAACGGGCAACTGAGGTTTGGGTTGGGATTTGCTTTCCCATGACAGATAAAAATCACTCAAGTGATTTCACCGCTGCTCCTAATTAGAGAGGAGTTTTAAAAGCAGCCACAGGATTTGGGGCTCCGGAGGAGCTCACCTCCGTCAGGAACCACACCTGGCCGGGAGGGAGGCGAGGGTGAGGAGATTGGCCTCGGGCGCTCGCCCAGCGACGGTGCCAGCCCCATTCTGGCGGCCGCGAGATCAGATTGTTCTGAGCTTGGGCCTGGTGCGCCCGGGAAGGGCCCAGTGACCGCTCCCGCCCCCTCCCCACTGCCTTCAAGGGGACTTCGAGACGAACAAAGAACCGGTTTCAAATCGTCTTCTCTGACACGCCAGGCAAATACGTGCGAAAGGTCGGGTCCGCGGTTGCAGCGTGGAGGAGATGCGTCCCCGGCTCCACAACCTCCCTTTCCCAACCCTGAACCTCAGCTCCCAACCCTGCGGGCTGCGCAGACGGTTCTGCCGCGTCTCGGCGTCCCCAGGCGGGGTGCGCAGGTGGCTCTCCGCGGGGTCGCCGGGAGCTTGGGCACGTCTCTAGTGGATTTGAAACTTTCTTGGATACGCTTTAGAGCCGTGTTCAACAAGTCCTAGTTTTGTTTGTGGGTGGGTTTTTTGTTTTGTTTTGTTTTGTTTGTTTTGGGTGTATTTTAACACGATGAAATGGCATTTTAGTCTCATAAGCGTCTACACCTCCCTCGACTTTTTTTGCAGACTGAGTGGTGCGAATGTAAGAGAGCGCCTGCAGCTCTCCTGGATTCCGGCCGGGGGCGCTGTGCTTTTTTGAATGCGAGCAGTGGTTGCAGCTCCAAATAGCCCCTTCCTCCTGCGCGGGGTGGGCCAGACTGAGCCCAGGAGGGGCGGGAGGGCGTGTGCCCAGGCAGGGGTCGGGCGCTGACAGCGGCCATCTCCTCGCGCCCAGCACTTTTCTGGAGGAGTAGGGGGACATGTGTGGAAAGCTGGAGGCGAAGTCGCGGGTAGGGCTCCGCGCAAAGCGAGGGGCCGCAATGGACAGGGTGAGCGGGCAGACTCAGTGGGAAAAGAGACTTCCCGGGCCGTGGGTGTTGGGAAGAGGGCGCCGGCATCAGAGGCGCTGGGGAGCTGCTGGGCTGAGACCACGCGGGGTCCACACTCCACACTGTCATTGACACTGGCCGGCTGTGTGACCTCCGGCAAGTTACTGAGCTGCTCTGAACCCCAGCTCTCTGTTTGCAGAGTGCATAATGGCTGAGGATTCAGGTGGAGAATGTGAGCAAACCGTCCAGCACGACCTTGGGCCTCAAGTGTGCATGGACGAAAAGCTGCATAGCCCTGGGGGGGTGGGTGGTCTGCAAGGCCACTCATTCCGCCCCCCCCCCCAGCAAGGTTCAATTCAGGATGACGTCACCTGCCTTGCCCCTCTCTCAGACACCCACCCACCCACACACACACACACAGCGACTCCCTCATGGGAACTTGTGTGTATTACCTGGCTCTGCTCCCTAGACACCTGCTTAACCCCTCAGAGCCTCTCCGGGGCTCAGCTGCTTCCAGAAAGCCACGGTGGGCAGAGAAGGGCTCTCCCAGGTTCACTGCACACCATCCTAGAAGGCTGGCAGTGCCCAGGTCTGTGCAGACCCAAGGCCACTAGCTGCCCTTGGCACTGGCCTCAGCTCCCGGGGGGCCTTTCTGGAAGCAGATACCTGTGACTTCTCTGTGGGGGTAGGGGAGTGACAGCATCAGGGGTCCTCCTCCAGGTGCTACCATCACCATGAAGCTGGCTACAGTGCTTAACAGGACCTGGAATTCTCCCCCTGGGCATCATTCGGGGCTCGAGACCTGGGCTGCGGGAAGGGGTTACCTGGTGACAGACCGTGGAATTGCCAACTTCAGGCAATGGGAGCTCAGGCTGCCCGGGACCTGCGGTGTCAGGTGTGCCCTTCCTCTGCAGCTCTCCTCCCAGTGCCGGCAGCCCCTGGGGTGCGGCGTGACCATCTCCCTGTTAGTGCTGAGCTCTGCTTGAACCTCTCATTTTTGCCACACTTCGGGAGCATTCATTCACCAGCACTTGCTCCCGTCCAGCCGAGCCTCTTCAAAACACTTGGAAATCCAAACAATGGGTTAACTCCTGCGGCGGTCTCTGCTTTTCCCTCTGTGGAGCTCAGGATCACTGGGCAGGACAAGGGACCCCTTCTCTGAGCCCCATGCATCCCCCTCTTCTGTGGCCGGTTCTCTCTGCCCTTGAGCCAGGCAAGCCTCATTCAACTTCTTGGGCCCCT